AGTATTAAAATAATGGAAGAAAGTGGTTTAATACTACATTATTATTGACTTTCATGGTCAGGAGTTCGGGATCCACCTCGTCAACACGGTGAAACCCTGTCTCTGCAAAAATACAAAAAAATTAGCTGGGCATGATGGTGGGTGCCTATAATCCTAGCTACTTGGGAGGCTGAGAGGGAAGAATCGCTTAAACCCAGGAGGTGGAGGTTGCAATGAGCCAAGATCACGCCAATGCACTCTAGACTAAGCAACAGAGCAAGACTCTGTGTCAAAACAAAACAAAGCAAAACAAAAACAACCAATACTCTACTGCGTACTGTGTGGCCAGATGACTTTGCCTAATGGTAGGCTAGTGTAAGCTTTCTGAGCACATTTAATAGCTAGGCTAAGCTATGGTATTCAGCAAGTTAGGTGTATTAAATGTTCAACTTATACTATCCTCAACTTACAATGGGTTTATTGGAATGTAACCCCACTGTAAGTTCAAGAGTATCTGTACTTTCACTATTCAACATAAAAAAACCTTTGCCTACCATTAGGCAAAGTCATCTGGCCACACAGTACGCAGTAGAGTATTGGTTGTTTTTGTTTTGCTTTGTTTTGTTTTGACACAGAGTCTTGCTCTGTTGCTTAGTCTAGAGTGCATTGGCGTGATCTTGGCTCATTGCAACCTCCACCTCCTGGGTTTAAGCGATTCTTCCCTCTCAGCCTCCCAAGTAGCTAGGATTATAGGCACCCACCATCATGCCCAGCTAATTTTTTTGTATTTTTGCAGAGACAGGGTTTCACCGTGTTGACGAGGTGGATCCCGAACTCCTGACCTCAGGTGATCCGCCTTGGCCTCTCAAAGTGCTGGGATTACAGGCGTGAGCCATTGCACCCAACTGAGTATTGGTTGTTTGCCCCCATGATGCATGGCTGACCAGGAGCTGGGGCTTGCTGCTGCTCTCCAGCATCATAAGAGAGTATCATACCGAATATTTTGAGCCTGTGAAAAGATCAAAATTAAAAATTCGTGGTATAGTTTCCACTGAATATATACCACTTTCACACCATCATAAAGTTGAAAAATTATACATTGAACCATTGTTAAGTCAGGGACCATCTGTAATTATATACTGGGAAGGGATGACTATATGTATGATGTTAACAGCAAAAAATCCAATCATGTGTCAGACATCAAGATAGAGATGGAATTTATTTTTCCCAATAGATTGGAACAAGTTTCATGTAGTAGAAATGAATGACCGAGAGGGAAAGGCTTCAGTTGATCAATAACCATTTATTGACATCCTACTGTGTGCTCTAGCACTATGTTTGACTACCAAATAGGATATAAATAGAGTGGAAGGCAGCTGTCCCCTAAGAAAATTACATTCTTTGAGTGAAAAGCAAGTAACAAATCAGTATGTTTGGTGAGAAAAAGGTATGTGTTATGTATATTTAATGTTTCTGTTGGCATAAAGAAAATTAGGGGAGGTTATACTATAAAATATTAACAATGTAGAAAATCCTCATTATTCAAAGGTAATTGGATTAGAAAATGGCAAGTAAAGTGAATTCATTTAATACAGGAACCAAAAGTTATTGTAAAACATAAAACATTTGTTTGGGACCCAATCTGGAAAAACAAAGCTCAAAGTGATAAGGATAAGCAGATTTTATATTTGATGGAATTGTTATAAATGAAATGATAGCCAAGTTTTAGAATGAATAAAGAATAAAGTGTAGATTGGATTTCTTTGCTATAATTTTTGTGGGAAAATTGTATGACAACATTATAGACCACCTTTTAATTTTTTTTAGCCCCATCCAAATCTAATCTCAAATACCTTTTATTTCATTTTTTGACATGTTGAAAAAATGTGTTAGAGATTTATCAGTTTTTGTAGGGACTCCTTTTCAACTTTTGGTATTCAGGCCATTCTCTTTTGTTGTTTTTACTGTACAGTACTGTTTGGTTGTTAACTGGTAACACTTCTGTCAGATTCTCAGCTGCCAGTAGTAAGTTCCAAGGTTCTCCAGCATCACTTTCTTAACCTACTACATCCTTACAATTGTAGTAGAAACATATGCTTTTGTTAATCATATAAGTATACAGGGCAGTTCATTATGAATATTTTAGTGTTATGATAACTTTTGGTTTTCCTTATGTAACCTAAATATTCATCAGTGAATATTTTAGTGTTACAACTTTTGGTTTTCTTTATGCAACCTTGTAACCATGGGAAATAATATAATACTAGGATAATGACACTCCTGTAGTTTTTTTTCTGAGTGGTGAGATTTCTTTTATTGATTTTAATTAATTAGTTATTACTTACCTGTGTAGTCAGTTTTCTTTATTTGAGATATTTAAGTTCTACAAAGTCACCCCAGACACTGAATTAGTGAATACTGAACCAGTGCTCCTTGGGGAAATAAAGGGTTAGGTTCCTGTGAGTCTTTCATTACATTTTCATCAACTGATGAACACATAGCCTTGTTTATGTGTGTTTCTGTTTAAAGACACCTTATTTAGTACATATTGTTGATTTATTAACATTGTACTCAGGCCCCAGCGGCTCACACTTGTAATCCCAGCGCTTTGGGCAGCCGAGGCAGGTGAATCACCTGAGGTCAGAAGTTCGAGACCAGCCTGGCCATCCTGGTGAAACACCGTCTTCTTATAAAACAAAAACAAACAAAAAGCAACATTGTACTCATGACCAGCAGCACTGTAGCACTTGCCTGAACAAAGCTGACCTAACACAGATACTTTCTCTGTGAGGCATATGACAGCCTTCTTGCTCATGGGACACTAGACAACACTTCAGCTCTATGCTTAGGGGTTATTTTAAATAGTGAAATCAACAAAAAAGCACAAAGTGTGGAAAATGTGGCACTAAATAGACTAAAAAGGATACTTATTTATGGTATAGAGCTGGAATAACAAGGTAGGCACCTCATCTCAGCTGGGAATGCACACATCAGGGAACTCATGTTTTTCACTGCTCTCCACATGTTTGTGAATGACTGGGAAAGCTCATTGAGTATGGATTTTGGGTTTAGAAATGAATTTTAGGTCGGGCGTGGTGGCTCATGCCTATAATCCCAGCACTTTGGGAGGCCAAGGCAGATCACTTCAGTCCAGGAGTTTGAGACCAGCCTGGGCAACATGGTGAAACCCTGTCTGTACAAAAAATATGAAAGTTAGTTAGATGGTGGCATATACCTGTGGTCCCAGTTACTTGGGAGGTTGAAGCGGGAGGATCGTTTGAGCACAGGAGTTGGAGGTGGCAGTGAGCTGAGATTGCACCACTGCACTCCAGCCTGGGTGACAGAGGGAGATAACCCCGTCTCAAAGAAAAAGAAAAATTTTAGCAAGTAGGGAAATTTGCAAATGCAGAATCCAAGAATAATGAGGATTGGCTGTATTTTCTAATTTTTCACATACTAAGGGTATTGTTGTAATTTTTAAAAATATGAAAGAACAAATTATAAGCTTTTAGAAAATTAAATTATGGTATAATTTGGAAGATAAAGCTAAGGCTTTAAAAATAAATAGAAAGCATTTTAAAACACAATATATTGGTTGGGTGTGGTGGCTCACACCTGTAATCCCAGCACTTTGGGAGGCCAAGGTGGGTGGATCACCTGAGGTCAGGAGTTCAAGGCCAGCCTGGCCAATATAGTGAAGCCCCATTTCTACTAAAAATACAAAAATTAGCTGGACATGGTGGCAGGTGCCTGCAATCCCAGCTACTTGGGAGGCTGAGGCAGGAGAATCACTTGAACTCGGGAGGCAGAGGTTGCAGTGAGCCGAGATTGCGCCATCTCACTCCAGTCTAGGTGATAGAGCAAGATTCCATTTCAAATAATAATAATACAATATATTTTCTTATATGTGTGTACATCTGAGTATGGGTAGACTAATGCTATAATAGGTGTTTAAAAGAGGGACGAGTCTGGGCATAGTAGCTCACACTTGTAATCACAGCATTTTGAGAGACTGAGGTGAGAGGATTGCTTGAGCCCAGGAGTTCGAAACCAGCCTGGGCAACATAGTAAGACCTTGTGTCTATAAAACAAAAAAATTAGATGGGTGTGATGGCGCACACATACAAATCTAGCTGTTGAGGAGGCTGAGGTAAGATTACTTGAGCCTGGCAAGTTGAGGTTTTAGTGAGCCATGTTCAGGCCACTGTACTCCATCCTAGGTGAGAGAGCAAGAGGCAGTCTCCAAAAAAAAAGCAAAGCAAAGAAAAGAGGGAGGAGCACTGGTGGAGAAAGAGAGAAGGCAGAGAAGAGAGGTGGGACTGTTTGGTTATATTCATTAATTATAAGACTCCTGTCAATAAATCTAAACAACTTAAGCCAGGTTAAAAATAAGTAGCTGTGAATACTGAAGGGATTTATCCGAAAGATGGCTCTCATCTCCAAAGCACGTGTTTTAATAGAGCACAGAAGCATGTTGAATTAATATATGTGGTTTAATTTAAATGTACAGATTTCGGGGAGAAACTGAAATTTTTCTGTAGCTGTGTTTAAGATCTTGTTAACTTATTTGCCTTTCTCAGTCTAACTTCGCCTTTTCTTACATATAGACACATGAATGCAGACATAAAGATAGCTCCCTGTCAGCTGGGCACGGTGGCTCACACCTGTAATCCCAGAACTTTGGGAGGCCAAGGCAGGCAGATCACCTGAGGTCGGGTGTTTGAGACCAGTCTGACCAACATGGAGAAACCCTATCTCTACTAAAAATACAAAATTAGCCAGGTGTAGTAGCGCATGCCTATAATCCCAGCTACTTGGGAGGCTGAGGCAGGAGAATCGCTTAAACCCAGGAGGCAGAGGTTGTCGTCAGCTGAGATCACACCATTGCACTCCAGCCTGGGCAACAAGAACAAAACTCTGTCTCAAAAAACAAACAAACAAAAAGATAGCTCCCTGTTAACACCAAGTTGCAGAGACACATGATTGTCAATTAAAATTCTTAAAAATTATTTCTGTTGTAGGAACAGCAGCAGTATTGGTATCGACAGCACTTGCTTAGTTTGCAGCAGAGGACAAAAGTTCATTTGCCAGGACACAAAAAGGGTCCTGTGGTAGCAAAGGATACACCAGAGCCGGTAAAAGAAGAAGCTTCAGTACCTGCCACCAGTCAAGTTCCAGAAACTTCTTCTTCTGAGGAGCCCCCATTGCCACCTCCAAATGAGGAAGTGCCACCTCCTCTCCCACCTGAGGAACCCCAGGTAACCATATAATCTGTTTAGTGTTTATTAAATTATTTAGCTTTTTTCCTGATTCATTTATGTATACTTTTATCATAAATTGACATATATTTTTGTTTTTTTAAGTACCTATGAAATTGCATTTGTGAAATAATCAGTCTGTTGTATCAGGTTTATTTATTTATGTTTTTGAGACAGAGTCTTGCTCTGTTGCCCAGGCTGGAGTGCAGTGGCACAGTCTTGGCTTACTGCAACATCTGCCTCCCAAGTTCAGGCAAATTTCCTGAATAGCTGGGATGATAGGCACATACCAGTATGACTGGCTAATTTTTGTATTTTTTAGTAGAGACAGGGTTTCACCATGTTGGCCAAGCTGGTTTCGAGCTCCTGACCTCAAGTGATCCGCCCGCTTTGGCCTCCCAAAGTGCTGGGATTACAGGCATGAGCTACTGCACCTGGCCTGTTGTATCAGGTATAGAAAAGGAATTTTTTCCTGGGTTAAGTGAGTGAAGAATTGGATACTTTTCTGAATTGAGTGCCTCTAAGCACCAAAGGGAGATACCAGCATATGTTCATAGTGACAGCAGAGGGCTTGAGCTTTTAGAGTCAAGCTGCCCAGGCTATAGTCCAGGTACTGCCACTTGTTAACCATTTTGTGCTTCATTTTACTCCTCTTCAAAGTCAGTATATTCAATAATAGCTATCACATAGAGGTATTGAAGCATTAAATGTGATTATCCTTGTCACTCAGCATAATGACTGGCACATGGGAGGTTCTCATATTGGTCCAAAGGTCGTTGTTCTCCCAAGAGCCTCATGAAAACCTTATCAAGCTCTAATAGTTATATTGTAGTTCATTGATGAAAAGTGACCAAAAAAAGAGATTTCTCACAGAGTGAAAAGGTCTGTAACTTAAGGTTCTCTTTTTTTTTTTTTTTTGTTTTAGACAAGGTCTCATTCTGTTGCCCAGGCTGAAGTACAGTGGTGTGAACTCAGCTCACTGCAGCCTCAACCTCCTGGGCTCAAGTGATCCTCTCCCGCCTCAGCCTCCCCAGTAGCTGGGACTTCCTTCTTTCCTCCCTTCCTCCCCCTCACTTTCCTTTTTTTTTTTTTTTGAGATGGAGTCTCACTCTGTCACCCAGGCTGGAGTACCTCTGGTACTCCAGACACCCACTCTGTCACACAGGCTGGGTATGGTGACACGATCTTGGTTTACTGCAAATTCCACCTCTCAGGTTCAAGTGATTCTCCTGCATCAGCCTCCCAAGTAGCTGAGGTTACAGGTACCTGCCACCAGGCCCAGCTAATTTTTGTATTTTTAGTAGAGAGGGTTTCACCATTTTGGCCAGGCTGGTCTGGAACTCCTGACTTCAACTGAGCCGCCTGCCTCAGCCTCCCAAAGTTCTGGGATTACAGGTGTGAGCCATGGCACCTGGCCTGGGATGACTTTCTACTGGAAAAGTTGTTGTCTTGTTTAGGAACAATAAGATTATTATTCCAGAGAAGACTATGGAATTTATAAACTCCTTTTTATTAGTAGCCATAATAGTAAAGATAGAGCTTTGTGTTTTATCTAAAGATAGAATGGCTTTTCTCAATCCAAAAAGAACTAAAGACACTGTGTTTGACAATTGGATGTTTCTGAGTTGTAGGGATGTATATTTTTTAAGGTATTTTTGGTTGCTGTTTTATGACTTATATAAAAATGTGTCCTCTTTTATCTTTAGTCCGAGGACCCAGAAGAAGATGCCAGGTTAAAGCAGTTGCAGGCTGCAGCAGCACACTGGCAGCAACACCAGCAACATCGAGTTGGCTTCCAGTATCAGGGAATAATGCAGAAGCACACTCAGTTACAGCAGATTCTACAACAGTATCAGCAGATTATACAGCCCCCACCACATATACAGGCAAGTGCCTCCATAGCCCACAAATAGGAAGTTACCCTAAGACATTGAAAGGATTTATTATTATTGAAAGATTTAAGTGTGAAAAATAAAAAGATGTCAACTGTTGACAGTTGTTTCCCAAGGGGGAGTGCCCAATTAGTTGTGTGTCACATTACCTGGGGGATTGGGGAGGGGTGGGTTATAGTAGAGTTTCCTGATCGTGTCAACCCAGGCCAGATGTTAGCCTACTATTGCTAAGAGTCAGAACCCAGGATTTTTACCATTTAGCTACATGTTAACCTGTGTTTTGTTTGCAAACTACTACAGTAACAGATAAGCAAAAAGGCCAAAAAACAACCATCACAAAAAACTTAAGCAAATATACCATAAAAGATAAAGTGACTTAGATACTTGCCTGTCTTGTATCTTTGAGGTATAATGTGTCTGTATATCTACAATAATAGATAATTTTTCAAGCTCTTGAAATCATCCATATTAATATTAAAAACTTGACTGCTAAGATAGATACTTGCTTTAGTATTTGGTTGGTTTTTCCAACTCTATGGTGAGTTTTCTAAGCCAAAGGAAGGAAGAAGAATGATCATCACTCAAAGAACTTAACAAGCTTATTCTTAGCCTCCCAAAGTCTTTAGTGTTCTAATTTCCTAAAGCATCAAATGCCCTTGATTCATTAATATTTCAACCTATGATTAATTCTTTTATATGAATGTTTTGAAATAGTTTTTATCCCTTTATTTGTAGACCATGTCTGTAGATGTGCAGCTGCGGCATTATGAGATGCAGCAGCAACAGTTTCAACATCTTTACCAAGAATGGGAGCGAGAGTTTCAGCTATGGGAGGAACAACTCCATTCCTATCCTCATAAAGATCAGCTTCAGGAGTATGAGAAGCAGTGGAAAACATGGCAGGGACATATGAAAGCCACTCAGAGTTATCTCCAGGAGAAAGTCAATTCATTTCAGAACATGAAGAACCAGTATATGGGGAACATGTCAATGCCACCTCCTTTTGTTCCATATTCTCAGATGCCTCCACCTCTACCTACAATGCCCCCTCCTGTGTTGCCTCCATCATTGCCACCACCAGTGATGCCCCCTGCCCTCCCTGCTACAGTGCCACCACCTGGCATGCCCCCTCCTGTTATGCCACCTTCTCTACCAACCTCTGTCCCCCCACCAGGGATGCCTCCCTCTCTCTCTTCTACAGGGCCACCACCAGTTCTCCCCCCACCTTCCCTCTCTTCTGCAGGGCCACCACCAGTTCTTCCCCCACCATCTCTCTCTTCAACAGCACCTCCACCTGTCATGCCCCTTCCACCATTGTCTTCAGCCACACCTCCTCCGGGAATACCCCCTCCTGGAGTTCCACAAGGGATACCTCCTCAGTTAACAGCAGCCCCAGTTCCACCAGCCTCCAGTTCACAGAGCTCACAAGTTCCAGAGAAACCTAGACCAGCACTGCTTCCTACTCCTGTGTCTTTTGGTTCCACCCCACCCACAACTTACCATCCTCCATTGCAATCATCTGTTGGTCCATCAGAACAAGTGAATTCAAAAGCTCCTTTGAGCAAGTCTACTCTGCCATACAGTTCGTTCTCATCTGATCAAGGACTTGGGGAGTCTTCAGCTGCTCCATCTCAGCCAGTCACTGCAGTGAAGGACATGCCAGTGAGGTCAGGTGGCCTGCTTCCAGATCCTCCTAGAAGTAGTTACTTGGAAAGTCCAAGAGGCCCAAGGTAGGCCTGCTTTTTTTTCCTCTCTCTCTTTTTTTTTGGTTTGGTTATTTTGTTGACTTAGGTTGTATAGTTCTTGATGATATTAAAAACTTCATTTATACAATTTTTATGCTGTCTTTGTAATTATATTGTCTGCTTGTTAGACATCACGTATGTAATCTAGGAAAGGTAACATTTCCCCCATTTCTTTGATGTCTCTGCTTTTGTCCTATATGTAGAGATTACAGTCCAGAATGAATGTAGTACTGTGGAATAATGCTTATTATTTTGTATTGACTTAGCTTCAAAAATAATATTTATTAAACTTATCTTTTTTTTTGCTTTTTCCTTTATTTGACAAATAATTGAATTGGTAATTACTATTTGTTAGATAATTTGTTAATTGTTAGAGATAAAGATGAATAAGCCAATATTCTTTTGGCTTAAGGCAGTGAAATTTAGTGTAAGGTAAATAGGACTTTTGTCCATTCAGCAAATATTTAAGTTCCTGCTCTGTGCTTAGAGCAGTGAATATAACAGAACTCAAAATTCCTGCCCCCATGGAGTTTACATCCTTTATATTTTCTCCACTTACGGAGATACTTCTGTTTTGTCTGAACCACATATTTAGAAAGAAAAAAAACATGGTGTGTAAGTTTTTTCTCTTTACCTTTTAAAAACTGTTATTTTTTCCAAGTTTGTAAAAACAGACTTTTCTCACCACGTTGACCTACATGATAACTTTTCTATGGAAATTATTATTATTTTTTGAGACAGGGTCTTGCTTTTTCACTCAGACTGGTGTGCACTGACGCAATTATGGCTCAGTGCAGCCTCAACCTCCTGGGCTCAAGCAGTCCTCTCATCTCAGCCTCCTAGGTAGCTGGGACCAGAGGTGCGCACCACCACATCTGGCCAATTTTTAAAAAATACTTCATAGAGATGGGGATCTTCCTGTGTTGACCACGCAGGTCTTGAACCTTTGAGTTCAAGCGATTTTTCTGCCTTGGCCTCTCTGCCTGCTTTGGTCTCCCAAAGTACTGGGATTACAGGCCAGAAAAATACTTTAATCAGTTTTTTTCCCAATTGGGAATTGTACTAGAAATGCATACTCCTTACACAAAATTCAAACATTACAGAAAAGTGTAGAAAAAAAGTGAAAGTTACCTAATTCCATCTGGAAAGAATCATTTTAAAAATATATGCTATAAAAATGGGATCATACTGAGTAGATTATTATTATTATTATTTTTTGAGACGGAGTTTTGCTCTTGTTGCCCAGGCTGGAGTGCAATGGAGTGATCTCGGCTCACCACAACCTCCGCCTCCTGGATTCAGGCAATTCTCCCGCCTCGGCCTCCCGAGTAGCTGGGATTACAGGCATGTGCCACCATGCCCAGCTAATTTTTTGTATTTTTAGTAGAGACAGGGTTTCACCATGTTGACCAGGATGGTCTCGATCACTTGACCTTGGGATCCACCCGCCTTGGCCTCCCAAAGTGCTGGGATTACAGGCTTGAGCCTCCGCACCCGGCCTGAGTAGATTATTTTATAACTTAATTTTCCACCAATCTGTGTATTGCTTAGATTTCCATCTATATATCAATGGATCTATATCATCATTTTTTCAACCTCATTTTAGCATTTGAAAACAAAGTATATCTTTTATTCCCCAAGCTTATAATTCTGAAAGCAGTATGGCACAAAACTCCATTCACAATCAAAGTTAAGAGAAAGGGGCAATTAGCATGAATTCCACTGTGTGCCAAGAATCCTTGATAGAGACTTAACACACATTATTATCTCATGGGAGTCTTCATAACACCCTGTGAAGTAGGCAGATTATTCTGTATTTACCCTTAACAAACTAGCACTGAGAGGACTGGGTAACTTGCTCAGTCAGGATCATGTAGCTGAGTAAGTAGAACCCCAGTCCAGGTACAGTTGAGTCCAGAGGGTCCCCAAATCAAAAGCACTATTTAAGCACTGTTTACTGCCATGATTCAAGCCTATACTGTCAGTGCTTACAGATACGTTTGTAGTTTTGATTTATTTGGCATGTGTGTCATCTTCATTTGAATTTGTACTTATCTCCTGGAATGAGCATTGCCTTTTAGAGCTGGTGACTAATTTACTATCAGAGAAGTACATTCTTAACACCTCATGAAACATACATTTTCTGCTCCCATGATTTCTGTCATGTTAATATTTTCTCTGCCTACTAAATCTTGGCTGTGTGAATTTAGGACCTATTGTAAGTTTTTTCTTTAGAAGAAAGTAACTTCCAAAGTTAATAATCCAAAGCTTGGAGGATATTAGCAATTATTTAATATTATATTCCTCTACGGCAATGCACATTTGTGTTGCATTTCAGTTTGTCACAATGGATCTTGTACATGTCATCTTTTTTATTCCTCTTATTGATCTCAGGAGGTAAATAAATACATAAGAAAAGTTGAGATTCAGAGGGGTTGTAAATAAATTGCCTCATATAACATAGCTAGTAAATGGTTGAGATGGGATTAGAATCCAAGGACTTCTGATCCACTTTAAGCCCATTGTACTTTTTGTGATGAGCAGTGGTATACTTAACATTGGCACAGTGTTAGGGAACACTGCCATCTAAGGTATTGATTCTAGAAAGTTTACTTTTTACATTGAACCCAAATGTGATTCTTTAACTGTTATCTGTTGATTTCTAGATTTGCCTCTGGAGCAACACAGAATGAATTATCCTATCCCTCTTCTACAACGTGTCACTATAGTTATTTAAAAACTGTTACCCTTATGTCTCCCTCACCTTGCCTTACCCAGTCTGCTCTGCCAGTCACAACTCAAATTCTTTTCGCCTTAACATTGGTTCTAACTTCCTCCTACTGTACTGCTCACTGTCCTTTGAAGGGCCTTTGGTTTGTTAGTCTCCTTCAGAATGAACACTTACTTCAGATGCTGAGGACCATAGGCCTAGTACCAACTTCATTATAAATAATGTGCTTATATTATATAGCTTAACAAACTGCTTTTTTGTTTGTTTTTTTCCGCAGTCTCACTGTGTTGACTCTTGTTGAGCTTAACATCAATTTAGCTTCCCAGATATTTTCACATTAACTTTTAAACCAAATCTCTCTTATCCTGAACTTGTGTGGTTGGTTTTTTGTTTTTGTTTTTCTTGTTTGTTTTTCTAAGACTTTAGATTTATCTTTAGATTTTTTTTCTAGTTAGGTTTGCGCCATCATTTCAGTCTGCTGAAATCTTGGTGGATGATTTTATTGTTTTAGGTATGTGATATCTTTCTTCAGCATTTTCATCTTCAGCTTTGATAAGGATGGCTTTTCAGTCCTTGAATTGGATCCTGCTCACATTGTCCACCCTGTTTTGAAAACCTTTCCCCAAACTAGCTTATGTCATTGCCATTTCAGTCACCCCTCTGCTGCTTTTGCTCACTTAGCCCTTATATAGTTTGGGAGTGTTACCCAGACAGAGTTCTTTTTCTCCTGTGTAACTAGGTAAAAAAATCGGTGGGAAGCTGGTTAGTGAGTGAACAGGACAGATAAGAATAATCTATACTATTAAAGACACCTGTAAACTTCCTTTATTTCTAATTCAGATTTTGTTATCAATATATAACCAATGTGGTAAGCCACTTTTTAAAAAAAAAAGTAATCAAAGCTGGTTAGAAAAACAAGAATTTAGAACACAGCTAAACAACTTTACCAGTAACATGTTATTAAAATAAAGTACTGTAAATGGCTTTGAGTTTTTGCAAAATCCCGATTTAGGCTGCTTTCTTATAACAAGAGTTCTTAAAAAGTCACATGACAAAACTGCATCACATGTAAATAGCATGTCACATTGTTGAGCATCTAGGGGAGGTGTTTTGACACTATGTGTATCATTGGGTTCACTCAGTCTTCCAGAAGACTACTGTTGCTCTGGTGCACTGTCATATCAATGGATGTTGGTTTTCCAGAACATTTTATTTTTCGTAAATAATAAAACTTACTGAAAGGTAACAGAGAAGTGCACAATTTTAAGTGTACAGTTTAGTGAATTTTCACAAAATAAAGACACACATGATATCACTACTAGATAGGATTTAATAGTGCCCAAGAAATTCCCCTCTTTCCCCTCAGTTATTTTCTAATACCCCAAAGATAACTGCTGTACTGAGCCATAGATTAGTTTTGCCTATTTTTGAACTTCCTATGAGTGAAATAATACTGTATGTACTTGTGAGTCTGGCATCTTTCACTTGACATTGTGTTATTGTGAGAGTCATCCATGTTGTGTGTAGTAGTAGTTTGTTATTCTCGTTCTCGTACGATAGTTCATTGCATGAATATACCACAATCTGTTTATCCATTTTAATATTAATGGTCATTGAAGTTTTTTGGTTATTATGAAAAGTGCTGCTATGTGTCTTCTGATGCTGTATGTGTCCCTTTAGATGTATGTGTGTTTGTGTTTAATTTTGTTTGGATATCTACTAAGGATTGGAATTTCCTGAATATAGAGCATATACATGTTCTGCGTTAATGAATATTGTTAAACATTTTTCCAAAGTGGTTGTTTCAGCTTGTACTCTGACCAGCAGTGTTTCAGTGTTTTTACATCCTTATCAAAACTTGGTATTGTTAAACTTTTAAGGTTTAGCAATCCTAATGGATGTATAGTGGTATCGTGATAATGGATTTAATTTACATTTCCCGGATGACTAACAAGGTTTCACTTCTTTCTATTTTATTATTGTTAATTTGGATTTCCTGTCTTATGAAATGCTGATTCAAGTCTTTTTTCCATTTTTTTGACAGGTTTTTATGTCTTATTGATTTTGTAGGAGTTCTTTATTCTACAGTTCTTTATCCATTATGTGTATTACAGATTTCTCACTGCAGCGCTTTTTACTTTAATGAGCATATGAAAGTAAACATTACAGGCTGGGCGCAGTGGCCCGTGCCTGTAATCCCAGCACTTTGGGAAGCTGACACAGGCAAATCACTTGAGGTCATGAGTTGGAGACC